CACACACACACACACACACACACACACACACACACACACACACACACGCAAAGGCGCGCTCTCTTAGCTCTAGCGTTAATGCACATTTTCAGACAAATGAACCAATTTGAAAACATAGTGGCATAAATGATTCCTCAGTGAATCTCAAAAAGACATATTTTTCATACTCTTCGACAGCCTCTTCAGGTGTAGAAAATCGTTGACCGCGTAACTGGTTCTTAATTTTTGTAAATAAATAAATGTCACAAGGTGCCAGGTCGGGATTGTACGCGGAATGTAAATAAGGACAACGTTGTTCTCCTTCAAAAATTCATTTGTCTGCCTGGCCGTGTGTGAACTGGCATTATCGTGGTGCAAGATGATACTGCGTTTACAGTTATTTTTACGGAGTTTGTCAATAACTTCCGGCAAACAAATAGTCGTGTACCAATCACTATTCACGGTACAACGATTATCCAAAGCAACGGTAGCCACGTGTCCAGTTTTATTAAAAAAGAAGCACTTTACACGCGCGCCACTTTGGTTGGTTTCGGCTCATCTCTAAAGACCCATACGCTGGATTGCTGCTTTGTTTTGGGATCGTAACTATAAATCCATGTTTCGTCACCTGTTACTATGTCCCACACCAAATTTGACGCCCCTTCGTTGAATCTGGTAAGTATGGCATTGCACCAAGTGACGCGATCCGTTTTTTGAGCCTCAGTCAAATCGTGTGGGATCCACCGAGAGGACAGCTTTTTCACACCCAAATGTTTGTGTACTATTGATTGTATTTGACTCATGCCTATGCCTAAAGATGCCCGAATCTGATGGTATGTCACATGCCTGTCTGTTTTGATCATACGGCGCACAGCATCGATATTTTTGATGTTCACAGCAGTGGACGGGCGACCACGAAATTCGTCACTGAGATTCACACGACCGCGTTTGAATACTGCAAACCAGCTATAAATAGTCGTCTTGCGTGGTGCTTCATCGCCAAAAGCAGTTTGAAGCTGAGTGAAGCTCCGCTGAGCTGTTAAATGAACGACTTTAAGTGTAAATTACACCTAAAGTCGTAGAAAATCATACTACGAAAATTTTCACGAGTTAAATCCATGGTGATGTAGACAACCAATTTCTAAATGACGCCACAACGTAAAAACAAGTGACAGTCAGATGAAACAAACTATATTCTACAGCCAAAGAGTTCCATTTTCAAATGTTGTAGGTAATTACTTTTTAAATATTGTTTATGTAAGTGGCCAATTCCGGAAACTTATAGTGCGCCCTGTGAATTAAGTCTAGCTGTGGAAGCGAGGGCCTGGTGATTCGTCATGCAGGGAATCCTAATACGAGCTCTAGGCTCTCACGGGAGTTTTTTTTCTAATAATATATTATTTACCATTGCCTTTGTGTGAGTGAATAAAGTTATTATTATTATGAGATTTTTTAGTGCACCTTAACCTTGTCCGGCCGATGATTTCTTTTTCTTTAAATTAAGTGAAAATGCCGATTAGTTGTGGTCTTTTGCTTCATATACTCTGAGAAAAATATTTAAAGAAATCCTGTAAACATTGATCATCGTTAAAATTTACTGCACAATCGTGCGGTTGCGGAACTACATGCAAAGTGCACGATTGTGCAAATTCATTTTGAAAATGGTAAATGTCAATAAAACCCATTTTTTACGAGATCGGTTTTGCAACTTTAATAAAATAATAATCAGCCTTACGTTTTTTTTATTAATAATTAAAACACTTCGTACAGGAATCAAAATAAATTCTTATGTAACTAAAAAAATATCAAACTTAAAACAATAACAAACAATTTTTACTTCTTATGATAAAAAAAAAACATTTCTGGTTACGTGAGATGCATATGTACACATTGCATTTGGTGCAACGTACATTAGTACGGATGCAACGTGTATTAGTACGGCTGCAGCAGGTTTCAAATTGGCAAGCCCTTGGAGAATTGATGACATAAAATAAAGGTAAATGATCATAACCATCATACCTCAGGAATTCTGACGGCCTGGCATACTTTGCATATTTCCTTGGAATTTCACCATCTGAGGCATCACCTGCTGCTTCACATCGCCTCTTTTCTGGTACGTTAATTAGTATTTCGTGGATTTCCATACGAAAATCAAGTAAATCTAGTATCTTGCAACGGAGATACTTCTTAGCCTCGCATTCCATTTTGTAAGCTCTCCATGCATTAACTATTGCTAAATCGAAAAGTGGATCAATACTACGATGGTCAATTTTTTACAACCTAAACGTTGTTCTGTTTGATTGTCTCCTAACGCACGATCTAAAAACACTAAAAAACTATATATGTACTTACGTATGACACCGCTGCCATCAAAAAACGCCACCACTCTGAACACTACCGTAAGGTCGACTGACGCAAGAACCCTACCCGCCGCACTACATACGCGCTGCGCTGGAGTGTGCACGATCTATCGGTATCGTCCTCGTTTCAGATTTTTCGCGCTCAGATTTTTTTCAAAATTTGTTTCACGATCGTATCGAGTCGGCCGGAAAGGGTTAATGGGTGTCGATAAAAGCATTATTCTTATTATTAATGACTATTTATTAATGCCTCTGTGGCCGAACGGTTACTATTGACTGCCACGCAGAGGTCCCAGGTTCGATTGCCGGGCCGGAAGAAATATTTGCATAGCCTACATTTATTTCTCTCGTGATTTTGCGTGTAATTTGTGGTTGTCTACGTGTATGTCCATGGCACCCGCGGCACAGAGTTTCCCTGGTGCTGGGCTATGTTAAGTGTGTGTGTTATTATTATTATTGAGAATGACTGAAGAGTAACTTTCTGGTGTACAATTAACTTTTTTTTTTCAAACAAATATCTCTAGTCTAACCAATTCCTAATGAATTAAAACCACTTTGTAAAGAGGCATTAAGTACATAAAGGTAAACCAAAAATATGTTACATTGTATCGTACCCCCTCCTTTAAAGGCGATCTGTACCCAGTAGTAAGATATATAAAGGCTGACACTGAAATGAAAGTGCATATAGCGATAGATACCTCATTAATACACTGTGGTGTTGTGTGTATACACACATACGTAAGAATGAAATACATAGGTCATATTCGCATACCATCTCTGACTTGATTGAAGGAAAGCTGTCGCCAGTGATATGCCAGTATTCAGGGTCTGCAGTTGAGCCAGCACTGCCTGGACCCATGTGTGCCATTTTCACTATCAATTTTTGTTTTAGAGACCAGATTTAAGAATTCAATTCAAAACTATTATCTGTTATGAGTGATACATGTTATTTGTTCTTCTGGAAATATTTAAAAGATCTAATATATTAAAATTGCATGTTTTAGATAATTTTCTGTTTTTTTGACAATGACGTTTTGCAGGATGTTGATGGATGTCAAGAAGGTAGAAATTAAAGATGAGTGTGTATGTTTCAAAAAAGAGTTTTTGTAAGAGGAATACAAACTTCATATGGCAAATTAATCAATACACCCAATGATAATTGAATACACCTGAATCTTATGACAAATGGGGAAATTGAGAATTATTATATAAAGCAACATTTTTGACTACCTCGGTGGTCCAACAATTTGCACTTTATTAAGAGATGGATAGCAAGTTCCCGGGTTCAATTACTAGTTAGATCAATATGACATGAAGTTCTCTGACTTGTTTCTAGTGCCCAGTGATAATTTATGTTGCTCTGGTACTCGTAGTACAGGAAATTCACTAGTTTGAGAACAGACCATTGACTTAGTCTGAGTAGTAAGGTAGTCTGGGACATCATTATTACTATTTAAATACACGTTAAATTAATACTATAATCGTCACCAAATAAGGCTCAACTCACACTGGCGCAGAGTCGAAGCATCGCGACGCGACATGTTTTTCGCCTATAGCACATTCATCTCTATTTTCCCAATATTAAGGTACAAATTTGTGTTATGCAAATATGATGTAACACACTGTGATCCAGGTGCATTAATGCGAGTGTCGTCGCGCGTCGCCAGGCGTTATAGTTGAAAAATAGAACGCGACGCGACGCTTCGACTTTTCGCCAGTGTGAGTTGAGCCTACGCCACCTATGTAACTTTGAATGCGATCAACGAAACAAATAACAAACAATTATTAGCATAATTGAGTTTTTAAAAAATACGTAAATTTTATTGAAACATTATGTAACATGACAAAATATATTTGATGTAGAAGGAAGCAGGGAAGATTCGTACACTTTTTTTAACTTTAATTTTGGGTTACTAAATGCAATTATAATGAATATTTTTTCTACCTAATTAAGTAGAAAAAAGATGTTTATTAGTTATATCATCAATTGATGATATAACTAATAAACATTAGTAATTTAATATTTTCTGTCATAAATAACATCGAATAATTGAAAAATTTTGATTTTATCCAAAAATGGGAATTGTCCAACTCTGCCCCTCCGGGTTACTTTGATACATCGCGTGTGGCACTTAGATGTGTGAATCAACGTAGTGTGCCATTCCTGGCTGCCACGTATTATAAGCACTAGGTGATCAACTGTTCATAAAGTATGACGCTATATGTGTCTCAGTACTTGCTAGATCAAGATTTCATTCTAGGGCACCATTTGAAGTGTTCTTTGTAATGTAGTCTCGGAAGTAAAAATACAGAAGGAAGAGCTGACTATAGCGCAAAATGTCACTAGTTCACCTCTTTACAATAACTTGTTAAAACAGTTTTACATTTTTCGCACAAATAACTAATAGGAACAACAAAACTGCAGTGGCACTCGTATTTGTGTCGGCTATTTTTTTAGTTAACGACTGTGAAAAGACTTTGTGACCTGTCTAACGACAACGGCTATCTGGTGAGCTGCACCATCGTGTGTCTATTACTCATACGTACAAAGACACGTTTTAGTATTATCACAACTAACATTATAAATAACGCACACACACACTCAACATAGCCCCGCACTAGGGAAACCCTGTGTCGCGGGTGCCATGGACACACACATAGACAACCACAAATTACACCCAAACTCACGAGAGAAATAAATGTAGGTCATACAAATATTTCGCCCGGCCCGGGAATCGAACCTGGGATCTTTGCGTGGCAGTCCGGCATGGTAACCGTTCGGCCACGGAGGCAGTTATGTTTGAGGGTATGGAGATAATGCAGGTGTATGAATGTGCCATCTGTATCAAACTGCCCCGCTTCCCCTATTGTTTTCGCACGAATTACAAAATAAAATGCGATTTTGAGTTGCCTCGAAACGTCGTGAAAATAGTTACGTACTCAAGTTTTTTTTAAATAATAGCTTCTAAGATAATAGCGTTGTTAAGCAATCGCCGAATTTCACAGACTCACTTCGATTTCTCGGAAAAAATATTTAAACAAAATATTGCACAAAATTATGAACATTATTTCAGATTGTTTGTTGTTCATTATAACAACTTTTAACTTATTGGCAGTCGAATAATTGAAAATTTATGAAATTTGAATTTATTAAAATTTCTTGGTAATTTAATCTTTTTATGTAGTTGTTTATTTACACTAAATTCTCGTAATAAACCATTTATGAATTCAGAATTAAAAGAATTGGATATGATATGATTAGTCCACATCCCTATTCGCGTCATGATGACAAGTGTCAAATTTGGCCTCTTATTTGGTGACGACTTTATGAGTCGTATTCCAGAATATACTTGTGCCTGATCGGTCCTTACAGGGAGCGGTCCTAGTTAGTTCAATCGGTCAACTGAACTAGGTCGGTCTTCTAGTTCCTTACCACTAGACTTGTGCCTGATCGTGTCCTTAGCGGGAGCGACCCTAGTTAGTTCAACGGTCAACTGAACTAGGTCGGTCTTCTAGTTCATTTAGTTCGTCTTGTCCTTGCTCAGACACTGAACGAACGCGCCAAACTAGTAATTTTATTCACTTGAACTACTACGGACTTCTAGTGTTATGAGGGTTAGTTAGTTCGTCTTGTCCTTGTTCGGAGACTGAATGAACGCTCCAAACTAGTTAATTTTATTCACAAGAACTACTACGGACATCTAGTATTATGAGGGCAATAGTACACTGTATCAAATATTTAAAAATACAATTGGTATGGAATCGGTACTATTTGATTTTCCTTCATGTTTTACAGGTTTAAAGACTGTCATTCTAACTAAATATCCTTTTTTTTTAAATAAGACTTTTAGTTAGAATAGTGTGTTTAAAAATCAATATATAGGTTCATTGACCTACCAATTTTAGGTTCAACTATTTCATATACTCGTTTTAGGTTGATATTATACATACAGATACGTACCGCACCTACCAAAAAATATGAGCACTTACTTTTTTGCAAGCTTGTATACATACATAATGCAGACAAGTATTAGAGACTAAGAGTCGTATTCCAGAACTGTACTCAATGCTCAAGTCAGGATTTGAGCAGACTTGAGTATGATTTCAAGCACTGGAAATACAACCCTAATGGCAAGGACTCGAGTATGATTTTCAGTGCTTAGCAACGTTTAATCATGCATCCCACTCGAAATTTTACTAAAAGTAGTGAAAGATCGCTATTTGTCCCGCTCGCACCGATCCTACTTAATAAAAGACAAGTGAGCTATCAACGCAGACAGTTCCTAATTCGTACTGAACTAAAAAGAACGATGGACTATTACAACCGTGCAAGACGAACTAGTTCATGTCGGTCAGTGTCGGGAATACATTCCTAATAGTTCATAGTGTATGGACTATACAAGCCTATTCCAGAGCTCTACTTAATGCTCAAGTCAGGACTTGAATATGATTTAAAGCACTAAAAATCATACTCAAGTCCTTGCCATTAGGGTTGTATTTCCAGTGCTTGAAATCTACTCACGTCCTGACTTGAGCATTGAGTAGAGTTCTGGAATACGAGCCTAAGACATCCATTTGTCCATTACGAGATTATGACCAATGTAATTGAATTGTACTATTACACATTATTCTACACATTAAATTATATTAACACAATGTTTGACCATTATGAGATTATGACCAATATCATTGACAAACTATAAGATAATGTTACACAAGACCCGCTATTATTAGCCAGTTTGTTTACAGAATTGTAACTTTGTATGTAGTATTCATAGTTTCGTAGTTAGACCTGTATGCACAGCTACACCCAAGCCCAACCAAGATACTTGTCTCAAATATTGATACCCAAGTATAATGTTATGTAGCTGCCCTAAAAAGGAACATTGGATTTTATAGTCTGTCTTTTTTGAAGATTGAGTAAAATGACAGTTCATTGCGTAAAAGTGCTGCCCACTTTGAAGCAGCTAGTAATAAATATTGTTTTTTAGATTCTTATCGTACTCAATTGATATCCTGCTATCCCACCGTACATAGTCACACCAACGTAAAAGTGTCTTTTACAACCCTGACATTGGCAGAATCATCATGGAAATTGATGGAGTCATTATAAAGAAATTGGAATTGGATAAATATTCTATCAACAGAGTGTTGGTCATGTTTGTGCAATAAATAGCAGAATTTGCTTTACGTGGGTCATCATTGGTTCATTACTTGTTAAATTTCTGTGTGCAGGTTCTTATTAATTGTAAATATTTGTAAGTTCACTGCACTTAGAATTATGTCTATCAAAAATAGAAAGAGGAGAATTATTTTAAAGTTATTCTTATTAAGACGTATAAGAATAAAAATTGATTTCAATACTAGTAGGCCAACTGTGAAAATAAGAATAAAGAAGGCAATACTCAATTACTAATCATTAGAACATCGTAACATTCACAATTCAGACATTTTTGGAAAAATTTTTCTTTCTTTCACAATCTATCAATAAAACTGTTGACAACAACTACATGACTATTTAAAATTTTATGAAAACTGTCAACCCGCAAATGTCATTTTACTCCATTTTCAAAAAAGACAGACTACAAAAATCTTCATTGTAAATGTATGACCGTCAATATAATAAAACATTCAAAATTTTGTTTAAGATTTATTTAATGTATTCTTAAACTTGCAATTGAGAAAAGTTAATTAATTGATAGCAAGAGCATCATTCTGAGCTTCCTGTGCAAGTTGAACTTGTAAATTCAACAATTTGTTTTTCAGGACTACTATACCCATTAGAACTATGTTTTCTGGTTTGAGAGCCCCTGAGGACTCTACATTGTAGAAGAATTTGTTCGGTTTTGCTTCCCAGTTAAACTCAGCTTCATATTGATCGTCGTCTAATTCTGTATGCTCACTTTTTGGCCACTCGTCTGGCTTAGGATACAAAGTATGTCTCATGACGTTGTCAGGGTCGTACTCAAAGCACACACCAGCTGTTGGATTCCATTTTGCATGTTCCTTACCAAATCCTTTTTTAGCATAAGCACGTAACTTTAGTTCCTGTCCCTTACGAAGTTTAATAATCAGGATCTCATCAGCTTCCCCATAGTCAGCCTGATCCTCATCCCGATGTCGCGAAGTCACTGGCACAACGCGTGGATCGCTTGACTTTAAATCCGCAGTGGTCACGTGTCTTGTTTGGTCGTCTGTACATTTCACATCTAATGTGAATTCCACACTGCACTCGGAACAGAAGTCGGCACACATACAATCTCTTGAATAACGGATTTTGTCCACTACATCGTCGGATATGAGTGGAATTAGGCCAATGCGGTGCGCGAGAAACTCGTCACTAAGAACAGTGGAGTTGGCTTCCAATTGTACCCAGTCAATGGCCATTGTCGGCGTCTCGGCGATAAACACACGTCGCATACTATTTGCCACGCTTAGTTCTGTGTCTTCAACAACAAATTTTACATTGTCGTCCGTCAACTCTGTGATCTGCACTGAGGGTTGATTGGCGTAAGGCATTTTACAACTTTATCTCCGCTTGTTAACCTAATGACGTTACTTTATTACTTTTGCCCTATTCTATATTAAGATTATTATCGGCACACTGAATATTATGTTTATTTTCAATTAATAACGCCGAAAACCAACCAAACAAATCACAACACCAACAAACACAAATTGAAATGGTAAGTCAAAGTGACGTTGTCATAGCGTGGGTTCGTTCTAAAATTCTTGTTTTCGTTCATCAAAGACGTTTTCCCGAAAATATTTTGTAGATATTTCTAAAACACTCAAAATTCACAATAAATGTAGCAAATAAATAAGTCTATATAATGTTACTGAAACGATTTTTAACATAAGATATTGAAATCAAATTCTGTCATTTCGAAAACTAACTTCCTTTAATATAATTGTGTACTAAACTTTTGTTAATTATGAACATCGAGTATGTAACCATAATACTGGTTATATACTCGATGATTATGAACTACCTTCAAAACAAAGAAATTGGGCATATCTAGTGGGGTTGCAAATTTTAGTAAATTTCTGCATTTTAATAGATTTCAGCATTTCATCTTTTTATGTATACCTCCTCGTATGGTCGCTGCCCTCACTTTGGTATCCACTATTTGTACTAAGTGCTATACAATAGTTGATATTTAAGTGAGGTCACCGACTGTACATATAAGATCATTGATTTCAGTACATTATCGACAGTAAAAATGGTGTATTAAACTACATGTAAAATTTTTAAGGTGACTGTCAGTAGGTCAATGCTGTTTTTTTTCCAAACTTCGATTTTCGATTTAAAATTAGACATAGTAACGCGTCTAAACCATTACGTGTTACGTGTTTAAAACACGTAACACGTAATGTTTTAGATGCTGTTTTAAAAGCAGCAAAAAAAAAAGAGAGATGAAACGGATATCCGGTAAGTATTCGGTACCGGGCCTATTTTTACTATCCAGCCGGATACCGGATAGTAGAACAATATCCGGCCAGCTACCGGATGTTTAAAACTGAGATAAATTCATAATCAGTACGCCAAATAAATTGATTTATTAATTAAATATGATAGAAATAGGATAAATAGCAACTACAGGATCGTTGTCTGTTTATTACTTGTTACTGAAAGAACTATAAGTTAGATAACGCTATCAGTAAACAAATTAATGAAATCAAATTGAAACAAAATAATAACGGGGGTTACAAGTGCTACGCTTACACTTATAACAACTAGAAATTTGAATATAGCCAAAGAATGATGTAATAGCTTTTTCCTTCTCCACCTCGAGAAATTTGCATTCGGCACAACAAACAAACAACACTGATGTTAAAATATTACCAAACTTGCGATTCTTTTTACACTGTTAACATTTTTCTGTCATGTATTTGTTACTATTATTGAATAATGTAGTCGTTTTTATAAAAACCAAGTGACTATAACAAATCAAATCGTAAACGTGGAAGTGCAATCATTCACTAATCAATCAATTACGGCGACGCGTGCTATAAGCCGGTCGCGACATGTTTACAGCAGTAGGTCAGATATCCGGCGGGCGGATATCCGGCTATCCGGCCTCGATGCGCCTCTAATTTTAAGCATTGAGGTCAAATGGAGTAAAGGGAAAAAGAATAATTTTGGAGGAGGTGCAGAGCATTATTAAAAAAATTACAAAGTTCAAATCTTTCCTCTGTGAAAAGAAAACTCTCCCGTGAAGCCAAAGTCAATTTTTTTTCCTATTAAATTAAGATGGCAGTAAAATACACATTATAATAACTACACATCAAATACACTGCAACATCGCCCTTACTGCGATCCATACCTGGGCAGGGGTCATAAAATGTACCAAAGAGGAACGAGCTGCATTATCTCCCCTAGAACATTTTTTAGTTTTAACCTATCGTTTGGGATTAAAACCATTGATGCATGCTTAGAAGGAAAATGGAGAAGGGTTTTATTTAGGACACAATTCAAAATTAATTGCTATAGCTAAGAAATGTGCAAAAAACGAATATTCGAAGTTCGTACGCCAAAAAATCTAAAATAATTCCGAATCTAAAATAATTCTGTTTAATTGCATTTCTAAAGAAAAATATGATAGTGTTAACTTTGAAACGTAAATTAAACTGATATTATTAAATTATTACAGTTTTCCTTGATGATTATTGTAAATAGTCACTGTCACACGAACATGGAGTGGGGTAACCTCGAGGGGAGGTAGTTGGCAGCAGCTACCACGAGGAAAATGGGGTGATGAGGAGCAGAGCGATGTCTGTTTCTTGATCGCTATTATAGGGAACTCCGCTTATTGACAAAGGGTGAATATGACTCTTGTCGCTGTGGGCGAGTTTTACTTGTATTTTAAATGGCATCTTGCTATCGAGGGTAACTCCTAGACATGTGATCATAATTTCAATCGGGTGATATTTTATACCACCTTATTACCATTGAACGGGTTTACGTCGTGTGAAGAAGACCGCTCCGCTTTTGTGGGGAATGTGCCTCTACTGCGCTTGGTTGACTAATAACAAATTTCAATATGTTCAACTAAAAGTTGTTCCTTTTTATTCAAACTAATACTTCTGCATCAAAAGATTTTTAGCAGATTCTAAAATTATCATGAGACCACACTTTAACAAATTTGCTCAGAGTACAGAAGTTATAACAGTATATTCTGTTCCAACGGTGCCATCAGTCTACACGTTCCCTGCGCGTTCAGGTAGCTCTTAATAATTTTTTATTAATATTTAAAGTTCCGGATTAGGTATCTATTTTACCGATTTTTATGATTTTGGCAATTTATTTTCTTTACAGACCGAATTGGTAAAATGGCATGCCACCGCTACAATTCTGAAGATTCTAGCGATTACTCAGATAGTGGAGAATTCGACATGTGCGCGGGCGGACAATGTAGTCATGACGGCCGTGGTAACTGCGGCAGTGGTAGCTGCGGCAGTGGTGGCTGTGATTGTGATACGATACTACCTTTCGATGCATTGTCGATTGAAAATATTCTTCTGATGATTTTCGATAAATTTAACTTTCGCTTGCTAATGGAGGAGCGCACACGCAGCGCAGTGCTAATTACCGCAGGTTTGGCTATTGCGGGTGGCCTCATCGGCCAACATGTCGGTGGAAAAGTCGCCGCCGCTGTAGGTGGTGCCGTCGGGGGCGCCTGTGGCATCGGAGTCGTAGGTAAGTGTGGCAATTGTATCGTGTTAGCTGTATTCTTGTATAAACTAAACTCATGAACTAGAAATATGTACGTTTTTAAAAGATAATTACTTACAGTTATTTATAGCTTTAAAAATACCCTCTCAATCGTAAATTTCTTGCGCCCACTTTAACGATGCCTTTAAGATTTTAGAGCATTTAAAATCGACAACTTTTTGGTTTCGCAGCCATCTCGATGAGGGATGCTTGGAATGATATCAAATACCAACTATCTGAGTTAATAGAACTGGTTTACGACTTCATTGCTGGACTGGAGCTGAAAGACTATCAAGCTGCGGCCAGTCTCCTCATGTCAGATGGCAACGTCGGCAGCCAGCTAGCCACACTGTTGACGAGTCAAGCCTCTTCTACCCTCGGCAAAATCATTATTTCCAGTATTACGAATAATTAATCCAGAAAATCGATACTTTTGACGGTAGGTATTGAAAATAACAATAAGCTTTGCAGGCAAAACATTGTTAATTGAAAGTGATTTTTTATTACCTAAATGTTTAATAATTGTTATAAAATTTCGAACGACTGAAATCGACATAATTATTTATAAATGCGTTTTCTAATTATTATTGTTTGCAGGCAAAAGTGTTTATATTGTTAAGAAATGTGTAATATATGTTTAAAGATCATCAGTTATTAAAATGACATAATATGTATAGGTAAGTAAAGATATAAGAATGACTTGCAAAAACTCGCAAAGATCTATTTTATAGTAACTATGTTAGGTAGATACTTTTGTTAAATGAGAGTTTTATAAACAATAATATTTTAACTTTTCAAATTTCAATTTATATTGACAGTGATAATTTGATAAATTAATTTCTAATAATATTTTAAGTGTGATGTTTGTTTCGTGATTTTAGTTCACTTCAGCCGAAATACTGTTGAATGTTTTTGTTTGTGATGTTATAATTGAATGACTTGAGATAATAATGTTAATTTTCTCATTCTTAATATACTTGAATTTTATGTAGTCATGATCAAATATAAATGAATAAATATGAAATCTCGTGAGTATAGTTTGTTTCTTTATCCTTAATTGTACTTGAGGCAATCACCATAGTAGTGTAACCCATATTCATTTTTTTTATTACAATATGACTAAATGATACTAAAAACATAATAATTTTATATTTGGATGCTATTTTCATGTATAAAAATATTTAATCATTAATTTCACTTAAAGTAATATTGTAGAATTTAAAAAAATAAATATTGAGTGTCCTTTATTAGACATTAAGTTAAAATACACAGATAAAGTACAAGAAACGCTTAAATACTAGAAACTGAAACTAGGATTAAATATATGAATTAAATTGGGTTCCCGCGGTAAGGTACCCAACATGCTGGCAACGTTCCCTCCTGAAATAATTGATTGTGGGTATAGCCTCAATTTTCCATTTACCTTTCTTAAAATTATAATTAGTAAGTGATGCTTGCCTCGTAGCACCTTACTCCTTCAAAATATAAGTATGCATTTGTGATTATCATGTCGCCAAACTAATATGTACGAATGTAGGTAACACGCGTTTTAACTATCTTAATCACATTTAACTTAATTGAGTTTGAGTGCTATTAAAGTGTTTATTAAGTAAAGTTGATCAGTTCTTTTACACCCTGCATAGCGTTCGGTCGGTATTCTCGTTTATAATCTAAATCAATAAGTGCGCTCATTCTAATGAAACGTTACGTGACCAATTCATCGGTAAGTGTCCATAAATCTTTGTGTTAAATTAACTTTGTAATTAAGGCATCTTCCATGAGGCACTCAACCTGACCTTTAACCTAATTAATTATCATTATACTAAAAGATAATTTTAATGATATCAGTCTCGGAAATTGATCAGTCCCCTGTAAGCTCTTATGCTAAATTCTAGTTTATAAAATTATTCATTTGTTTTCGAATGTGAAAAAAATAGAATGGTTTTTCAGACTGTGGAGTTCGATCCCATGTGCGATAAGGAGAACCCTCAAAAGATATCTTTTGAGGATGTGTCGGCAGCAGCTTTCAGAATTCAGAGTGGTATTGTTAAAACACCATGTGTGGTAAGTTCCATATCAATATTTCTATCTGAATGTAGAATAGTTAAGTAGTACCTATCTATTTAAATTCATTTTTCAGAAATCTCATATGTCGGTCACTTTCGCTATGGAAATTTATCTAAAGAAAGATTTTTTGCAGCATACAGGAAGGTAAGATTTAGTCTGGTTATACACAGATATTAAATTGATTTGAGTCCCTGATTTGTTCAACCTGACAGTAATCAGTCGACTTAAAATGCGTAGGCGTACCCTGCCTCATTTGAGTGAAAATCAAACTAATTTTAATAGACATAACGTTCATTTAATATATTTTCACCTGGACTAAATAGACTTCCCATAACTCAATTTCATATAATTCTCGTTTGTAATAATAATAATCACATTTTATAAGAATATTTTTCGTAAAACTTTTATATAACAATAATTTTGTATAGGTAGGTATTATCAATTCAGATAATTTTTACGAGATTTTTACCTGTACCTGTAATGTGCGCTGCTCCTTTCTTAGGTTAGGTTGCGTTATCAGTATCAATATGAAAAACCAGAACCAGAACAGACTTTTTAGGTTAAAGAGGTTATAAACCTAAAAATGAGGATTATAACTTATAATTGTAATATTAAGTTTTTTTTTATAATACCAAGTGATGGGACGAAAACAACGTGGGCCCGGTGGTAAGCGACACGCTTGTGCATAATAGTTGCAATGCCATATGCCACTCAGAGCTTTAAACCGCAAAAATCGGAGGGGCACTGCCAGTGCGCCCGTCACCCTGAGACATAAGTTGACTAGTCCCATGTGCCTATAATCTCACCAGCACCCGTACCCTTCAAAAGCGGAACACAGTAATGCTCAAATTACTGCTTGGTGGTAGAAATAGACAGGGTAGCTGTACTTCCCAGGACGAAATCTTTCACGAGGAGCTCTACTGCTACTAAATTAATAAAAAATAATTAATAATAAAGTAAACTGTTATAAGTATGAAAGTTTCATCATCATCATCCACAGCCCGACTTCACCCACTACTGGGTATAGGCCTCCAGCAGTTTGTGCCATCTTCCACGATCCTGTGCTAATCTCACCCACCACTACTGCCCGCAACTTTACAGAGTCGTCTCCCACCCTTCTCGCTACAGGACGTCTCACGTTTCTGTATCCATTTCTTGGCCACTATTCGGTTATCGCCTTACTCTACCTGTGTTCACCACGTCTCGCAACACGTCCCCCAGCTCCATTTTAAACTCGCTATCCGCTCTCCTATATACTGGACCTTAGTTCGTTTACGGATTTCGGAATTCGGAACTCGATCTATAGGTTGGATGGCTCTTTGTGCGACTCTAATTCTGTACACAGCCTTCTGTATGAGCGTCCACGACTCGGAACCGCGGATTTTTAGCAATATAAATAAATAATAAAAATAATAATGTTTATTTCCAAGCGTTAGTTCACGGTAACGCGCTTAAAGTAAGCTTATTATAATGTTAAAACTATGATGTTTTATTGGCAGCTTTGTGACTATTCATTCGCTCAGTTCGTACTATGACGCGCTATAACATTAAAGTACGAGCAATTCTTATGTCAAATTTAGTAATCTTAAAATAGTTACATGGATGCAATGGAAACAATATTATTTTCTGTTTTATTGTCTTAATATTGATTTGAAATGATTAAAAGTTAAGTTGAACCTATTTA